TTTATTAGGCAACTATAGGAATACTACTAGTAGTAGTATTTTTGGTAGAAGTTAAAATTACTTGATTTATATATTAAAGCCACTTTTTGTCAAGAAAGTTTTTATTAGGCTTATAATTTATAATTCAAAACCATAAATAACTTGTTTAAAGTAACAATACAATACAGTATATGTAGTTCGTTCTGGGTAGAGAACTAAAGTAAGAATAGCAATGATTTTTGTTTACGTATAACAAGTTGAATTATTGCTTCATTTCTGAACTCTTTAATTTGTTTTGTATATTATAACTATACATAATTGTTTGTTTCCGTTTCCTCCAAAATTCATATATGAGTGGGTGTAGGGTTAATTGTAGCATAGTGCTTGATCTTTTGAACATTGTTTCCTCAATAGGTATGTCAGGTTGCCAGTGTTACAATCCTTGATACTTTGTTGAACAGACTACCTGTTCATACAGGAGCTGCATTGTTGTATAGCCTCATTCCTTCCGATGGGTGTGGAGCAGGATTAAAGCACACTTTATAGGGGTTCTAATTGTAGATACCTAATTGACTTGATGAATAGCAAATGCTAAAATTTAAACACACACACACATCCACATGTAAACCTGTTTCAGGGCTGATCTGCGTGACAGAACAAATGCCTCAAAGGTGTTGAATGCTTACAAGATAAAAGAGTAGTTCTTTCCATATTTCCCAAGAATTTTCTTTTGAAGTTTATATGGATTTTCTATCTCATTATTTCTTTTCTTAAAATGGTTCATGGCAAGAATCCATTTCTTCTTTGGCTGTACTTTTCACTTCTAAAGGAAGACCTGATATATACAAGTTAGCTAAAATTCAAAAACAAGAAAATTTGTCAACAAATAAATTTTCACACACTTTGGGAAGGGGAGAAGATAGAAAAACTGCTGACTCAGGTGCCTAGGTAGATCATAAGTTCTTTTTTTCATAATTCTTCAAGAATGATTTGATGTTTTACCATGTGCTTTTAGGGTCTGTTGAGTTTTTGTCAACATTACCTGAAAGAGAAGGAAGCTTCTTAGGCTAGGAACTTGACAGATGGAAATATATTTAAAAGTCAAAAGATTACACTAGTTTTTATTCTCAAAAATTTTCCATGTTGTATAATTTAATAGTGTTCCAAATCTCCTAAGGCCAATAGTTTTCTATTTTAGCTTTGAGCTACTTGTAGATTAGTACGTTCTTGTGAGAAATAATACAAAAAGATCTTGTATACCTTCTACCCAGTTTTCCCTATTGGTGGCTTCTT